GCCCTCCCCAAGTGGCAGTTTTCTACTAAATCTGCAAACTACTGCAATTAACGACTTCGAAACTAAACGACGCCAATACAAACTTCTCTCTATAACGCGTTCGTCCGCGTAAACCGTTGCCCGTCGTTTCGCCAATATTCCCCGTGTTCCCCGATCAAAACGTCCAACCCGGTGAAATGAGCAAACGAAATGGAAGAGTAACCTGGTCGAAGAAAAGCGTTGAAATGGACCAAACTAGAAAAAAAGCACGATAGTGGGGGAAAGGGGAAAAACGAGGAGGACGGCCTCGGTTGAAACGAGTTCTCTTCCTTTCGCGTCATTGAGCGGATACACGAGACTGACGTGTTTCATTGTATTCGCGAATTTCACGATTATATAATTTCTTGACGTTTCGAAAGCGAGGCGTGCGCGCGCGTGCCAACGCATCGCCATTGAGCGTACCGATGGAAATCCAGGGATAATTACACGCGGCTGTGGCATAATTATAATTATCGAAGCTCACAAACCAGCCCTTTAAATTTCGTTAAATTTTACACGCGCCCGTGCACTACAGGCTGCAGGGCCGTGAAGGGAGGCAGAGATAGAGCCACAGAGAGACTACCGTTAGAGAGAAGTTCATAGCTGTTCATACGTGCGTAATACGACGAGCTATGAACGTTTGTACGGATTGGACCTCTTGATGAATCTCGTTAATTTTCCTCGTCGCGGATATCATCACAATTAAAGCACGATCTTCGACCAGTGGAGACAGTTACCGTCTGTTGCACGATAGAAAAGTAAAGTCTTTAAACGAAAGTTACAATCTTTCGTGCATTTCGTTCGATGTTATTGATTCGCGAGATAAGAATTTGATTTTGGTGTGAGAGGTTTGTGAGAAAACTGCGAGGTTGTTCGAACGACAATGGTCCTTTGTGAAATTTTTGGCGATATCAGAACTTTTAGGCAGAATAACGAGTAGTCGAATTAAAATTAAGAATTTACATTGCAGCAACCGAGAGACAGGCGACCGCGCACCGTGATACCGTTGTTCTGTACGCATTAAATTATTGTTTTGCACGGTAGGTTTATATTCTGATTACCTTATAATTGCGAGACATCTCGCGAAATAGCCGAGCCAACGGGATTTGCATTTATCAGCCGGAACGTTTTCGCCTGGTTCTCTTTTTCTTTCCTGGAAGAATGTTAATTACGTGGAAGATTTGCGAGTCGAACAAACGCGTTTCATGGTTTGAATAATTTTTGTTTGTCTTCTTGCTACTTCCACATTTTACCATCGAAACTTCTTTCGTTCGATTTATTTAACCCTGTATAATTACTATTCCAATTACTTCAAGTTTTCCCGATTTCCTCAGTAATAACCACCTCCAAACATTTTTCTGAATATCCTTTATAGTCTAGAATGGAAAATTTTGTTTGTATTTTACTATGAAAATTTCTTTCCCTGGACTTACTTTCAAGCTGTTCAATTAATATGCCGATTTCAAATCTTTTTGCTGTTAAATCTTTGTTTAATATTCTTTTGTGTTACAGAGTAAAAAATGTTGCTTTCTTTATACTTGAATGAAAATTGTTTTCCATATTTTACCATAGAAGTTTCTTTCATTCGATTCATTCAATTTTATGTAATTAGTATTCCGATGTATCTCGCGTTTCTAAACTAACTAACTGTAAGTAACTGTTCTAAAAAAAAAAAAACTCTCGTCAATAGTCTTTTTTTAATGAAAATTTTTGTATACTTTATCCATAGATGAAAATTGTTGTTTACGTGGTACGTAATTTTGGATAACAAATTAAAAAAATCATCTGATTTTGTAATTTCAACGAATCTCGTTCTTTGATATTGCCTTTGAATTCGTCGTCTAAAATTTCCCTTCTAACTTCCTCTTTTAACATTCGCGTACTAATAAAGCGCCACAGGAATTGTACGGTACTAATTTAGGCTCGTATTCAGGATAAAATTCAGTTGGCGTGCTTCATGACAAAATTCATAGACAAATTTCAGCGGATGGACGCAACGTGGTATCGCGTCGATGGCTGTTCACGATATTCCAGCGAATTTGATGTTAATCATTCGTTCATTTACAAACGCACCATGATGAAGAACGAACTGCTCGATCTCATTATTGTTACGTCGGCTAAAACTATGTTTAATCTTCCATGATGATGATTCATGTTCGTTTCAAGCGGAAATGAAAAGTTCATTCTCTTCTTAATTTAATCTTTTTCGGTTTCCGTTGTTTTTCAAATTGGACTGATGGAACGCCCCGCCAAGCGAAAAGGCGATAAACCAACCATGGCAACGATTGATAGGTGTTCGATTAGCATCGAGCACGAATTATCGACCCAAACAAGCTTCAAGAAGCTTGCACGAGCTAAGTACACATTTCTCCAAGTCGGACAAATATTGACTCCTTTGGATACACACGATCGAGAGATGGTCATTCATCGGATCAAATTAGCTCTAATTAAGAAAATATTCCACGACAATACGAGAATAGATCGAATGTCTTTAACGTGATTCGATGTTTGAAAAATTTATCGACGTTCTTAAACCTGAATTCATCTTACTTTTGCGAAAACGTTTCTACGGAATATCGTATGTAAATTTACATGACTACTTTTGGTCGTTTACGTTCGCAATATTTTCAAGCCGTCGCGTAAATATGAAATAACGCTGAGCACATTATCAGTAATCACAGCGCGTCGAGTGCGGATTATATCTCAAATTCTAATCCGCAGATATCAACTCTTAAATCCTGTAAATCTATCGTTTATAACATCCACGAGCTTTGCTAATCGTTCGGCATAATCGGCTGTTAAATCGAGTCCTCGCTGTGGTCCCACTTCACAGGGCGTTATTTTATAACGTAGTCAGATTCATCGATTTCCACGATAACATCCACCAAGTACGATTTTCCATCGATTCATCGAAAACCAAGGTTCGTGAAATCGCGTCAAACCTGCCTCTAAACAAGCCCGGTTGACCGATGCTAAATTCGTTGCCTGCGTTCAAATTTAGGCTGAACCAACGTGTTTGGTCGACGTTGGGGTTGCGTTCGATCCTGACAAATCCCGATCGAATTACGTACTAGCAGATCAATTAAAAAGCATACGAACGAAATCGATACGACATAGAGCAACGAAGCATCTAACCAAGTCCGCCACGATTGTCCTGTGTTTCTTCTTCAATAACGATGGAAGCGGAGCAGCTTCCATAAATCGATCGGAAACATCAATAGCATTCAGCGCGACTCATTAACCATAGGGACCAATCGATTCCTGAGCCGAGTCCGTATAAACACTCGATCAAAGACGTACGTACACATTACACGAGCCAAGTACAATGCACACAGACAGTCGGCGTCGTAGCCACGGGCCTGTTTGAGAGACCTCTTAAAACACACCCTTGCAGCTCACAGCGGCGAGAGAAGGAAAGCTGGTCGGCGAGCTGTTGCTGGTCGTCGTACTAGTCGTCGTCGTCGCTCTCATTCAAAGGGTAACAGAGACAAGAGAAGGAGAGACAAGAGAGGAGAGAGGCCGTGAGATGTATAGCGTGTGAAGGGGTGGTAGTTAACGAGGGGAAAAAAAAACCGGTGGAAAAATTAGAAAAATTGGGGTGGGGGGTAGTTGGGGGAGAATAGTAGGCGAAAAAGGACGAACGAGGGGAAAGCTAGGTCGGAAGCGAGAAGGAAAAAGATCGCGGGGTAGCAGGGAAAAGGGTGCCGCCCCCGCGAGAAATTTCGGTCCCGCGGCCATTGCAGCGGGAGGGCGTGGCCGCGCAGACGCTGCCAAAGAAAAATCGTCGCTCGCGACCAGGAAAAGCAGCGCGCGCCGTGCCGGAAACGCGCGACGCGTTGCGCGAAAGAAAAAAACGGGTTGCAGGGAGGGCGCGGGGGTCGCTGGCTAAGAGGGCAGGAAGAGAGAGGCAAATGCGCACGAGCGGGCAAAGAGGGCGCCCTTTCGCTCCGCCGGAAGTCGCCCTCTTCCTTTCTCCTTTACGTTAGTATCGTCGGTACCTCTTTTTCCACGTCGCTCCCTGCTACCCTTCGTGTCCTCTCTGTCCCTCGCGTCGAACTTTCTCCTTTTTCCCCCG